GCATGACGGATTAACGGACTAGTTTGCTTGTATTTTGGTGAGAATTTTCTAGATTAGATCCAAATAGATGTTTTCACGATAAGTTATGGTTTAGAAGGACGGTCACTGAGATATTGTTTAGTTCCTGCGATTTTTCAAAAATTTCTTTCCTGACTTAAGTTTGTTTGAGGACAAACAAAAAGGTAAGTTTGGAGGAGTTGATAACACCGTATTTTGACCACTTTTATGGATCATAATTGTATCTTATGCAGGCGTTTTAACTCTGTTTTCAATGGTTTTTAAAGTGTTTTCAATGTTTTAGAGTTTCAAAAGACTTTACAGGAAACTTGGGAAAAAGATATGCAATTTGGAACAAATGAGCAATTTTGGATAAATGCAGACCGTCAGAAGTATGACAAGAGATGAAGACCTTCTCACCGTCTGATCACCCCCAAAATTTGAGACAACATAGACGATCCAACCAGCTTTCTAATGCACTTGGTTTGGAGACAATCCAACGGTTAGATCTTCAGATACTCCCGATGCAAGAATGACAGAAAATGCAGTTCCGGAAGAGAGCAAGTGCCAGGACCGCGGCCAACACCCATTTTCCCGCGGGTAGAGCCACCGCGACCGCGGACTTTGGTCGTTCACTTTCCCGACGACTTAATTAAAGCCTAGATCAATTCCTTTCGTTATTTTTGAAGCCCTAAGTGTCCAGAACCACCCCAGAAGCTATAAATACCCCCTTTAGGTCATTCTAAAGAGAGGAGACCGAAACTTAGACAACTTACAGAGAGAAAGAGAGCTCGTGTGGAACCCTAGAGGCTGCCGCCGTCGATCCCAAAGAAGGAGCCGCCGCTGGAGAGCATCATCGCGCCTCTACCTGTAACTCTGTTCTTCGTTTCTCTTCCTTCTTTTCTTTAGTTTCCTGCACTTTCAATTTCGCTTATGATGCTTTGTTACAATATGTTTGAGTAGTTACCCAGTTGGGTTTAAAGGGATTTTTCAAAGGGAACTTCATGTCTTTTCTTATGAATCGATAGATTTAGGATTTATAATCTTCTAGATGTTCTTCGTTTGCCTTTAATCTTACTGCGTGATTCTTTGCTGGCCACTTAGAAACCGATCTGATATGATATGTTGCGAAAGCTTTCATTGATTGTCTGAACTAGGGTGAAACGAGCAATTCTTCTATAGGAGTGGAAACCTACCTGTAGTTGAGTTGTGAATGTTGATGAGTCTTATTCTGCTATTGCATCTTCTCCCTTCCAGAATCAGAGTGGAAACCTACTGATTAGGGTTGCGAGAGATAGTTGTTTAGTGCTGCGAAAGTAGGCTATTCATACTTCTGTGCCTCGAGTTCTAGAATATACGTAGTTGATTACCTTTATCATATGTTTAAAATCGACATAGCTTAGTCCATGAGTCCCTGCAAAAACACCTTGATGCCCAACGGTTGTCTTTAATTGCTTACAACCTTTGCTTCTTATTCGATTTTCCCTGCTTTCAATTTGTCTTTGATCTATTCGCTTATTACCTGCTTTCATTAGCCTTAGTTTAATTGCTTTTTACTTGTTTTAATTGCCTTCAATTGCTTTTGTTTCCTTTGCTTTCTAGTTTAGATTTAGTGACAACCAAAACCCAAAACCAAAACCAAAACCTTTTTAGTTCTAATCTGATTTAAGCGTTGCAGTGAATTCGTACTGAAACAACTAAGTCTCTGTGGATCGATACCCTAAGTACTACAGCGCACATCTGTGCACTTGCAGACATTTAGGGGTTATAAATTTAAAACCTGAAGCTTAGTAAAACAAAAACAACAAACCCCGCTTTTGCTCGCAATCAGGAATAGGAATCCGTCTCACCTCTCCCACCGGAGAAATATTGGAGCAGTCTTTTCGCCTGAACTTCCACGCCTCGAACAACGAAGCAGAATATGAATAGCTAATCGCCGGCATACGACTAGCACAGGGAATCGGAGTTCAAAAGATAAGAACCTTTTACGATTCACAGCTCGTAGCGTGTCAATTCAAAGGCGAATACGAGGCGAAGGAAGGACAAATGGGAGCTTACCTCAAGGTGGTCAGAGAATTGGTGCAAAAGTTCGACGAGTTCGAACCCACACGAATACACCGAGGAGAAAACACCTCGGCTGACGCCTTGGCAGCACTTGCTTCGACTTCAGACCCGGATCTCCGACGGACAATTCCAGTCGAATTCATCGAACGTCCTAGCATCGAAGAGGTAGAAGGAGTTTGGCTGATAAATCATCCCGAGCAGGAACCAGAAAACGACGAAGCAAGCGCTATGGATGAAGACGCCTCACCAACCGAGCTGGATTACGGCTGCGACAAAGAATGGCTCGGAGCCATCCGAGTGTATATCGCCGATGGAGAAGTACCAACCAACAAGTGGGAAGCCCGCAAATTAAAAGCTCAGCTGCGCGATATATCCTCGTCGACGACGAGGTGTTTAAATAGAGATTTTCAGGACCGCTCATGACGTGCGTCGAAGGACCGGAGGCAAGAAAGATCATGCACGAAGTACACAGCGGCGCGTGTGGAAACCACTCTAGCGGAAGGTCGCTCGCGATCAAGATAAAACGGCACGGTTACTTATGGCCTACGATGGTCAAGGACTGCGAGAAGTTTACGGCAAAGTGCGAGAAGTGTCAACGGCACGCGCCAACTATTCACCAACCTACCGAGTTTCTGTCATCGATCTCGTCACCTTATCCTTTCATGAGATGGTCAATGGATATTGTCGGACCTCTACATCGATCAAAGCAAAAGCGCTTTCTGCTCGTCCTCACGGATTATTTTTCTAAGTGGGTCGAGGCCGATTCTTACGCGAGCATAAATGATGCTCAAGTCGAACACTTTGTCTGGAAAAATATTATCTGCAGACATGGGGTCCCCTACGAGATAGTCACCGATAACAGATCCCAGTTCATCTCAACGCGTTTCAAAGCTTTCTGCGAGAAATGGAAAATCCGTTTGAGCAAATCTACGCCAAGATATCCTCAAGGGAACGGACAAGCCGAAGCAGCCAACAAGACGATCCTAGTCGTTCTAAAAAAGAGGCTCGATGCCAAGAAAGGACGATGGGCAGATGAGCTCGAAGGAGTCCTTTGGTCGCATCGGACAACTCCACGCCGAGCCACCGGAGAAATTCCACTCGCTCTAGTCTATGGAGCAGAATGCGTAATCCAACCCGAGGTGCATTTCCCAGGTATTCGACGAAGACTTCTGCCAGGACAAGAAGGCTTGAATCACTTAATGAGGCTGGACGAACTCGATTTGGTCAACGAAAGGCGCGACCAGGCTCTAATCCGAATTCAGAACTACCAACAAGCAACGGCGAGATACTACAACAAAAATGTCCGCAGTCGAAGATTTAAAGAAGGAGAGCTCGTCCTTCGAAAAGTTTTCCAAAACACTGCCGAGAAGAATGCAGGAAAGCTCGGAGCAAATTGGGAAGGTCCTTACAAGATTACAAAAGTAGTTCGCCCAGGAGTCTACGAACTTGCGACGGTAGCTGACGAAGCAATTCCAAGATCGTGGAATACAATGCACCTGAAGAAGTATTATCACTAAGGCTACAACACGGTCAACATGAACTACGAGACAGCTTGATCCCTGCAAAGGGTACGTAGGCAGCCCGTCTTCGGACGGGTTCAGCTGTCCCCCCTCCTAAAAAGAGGGGGGGAGTGGGTACGTATACACATACCTTCATTTAACTCTACAATTTTAGCTCATCTACCGTCTCTAGGAACATTGCCACTTCGGGCATTTTTCTGTTCGTTTTAAACTAGCTACTTATTTCATGTTCACCTCGAAATTCTAATTCGTTCATTGTCTCTTCGGCTAGTTTCTCATTACTTATTTCATGTTCGCCTCGGATTTTTAATTCGTTCATTCATCACATCGACAAGTTATCGTGACTTGATCGCCTCAGACTTTTACTTTTCCTTGTATCCACTTCGGCAAACTAAGTCTCCAAACACCTCGCCTCGTTGCTGGCCACAGCGAGGTAACAGTCACAAAATTCTCTAAATGGACTTTTAACCACCTTTCCTAGGACGAGGGTGCAAGTTACATCCTCCATGGATTAAAGTCAAGCGCGCTATACAAATTTAAGACTAAAAACGTATCGGTCACCACGGTTCGTCATCGTACACGAGATTATAAGTCGAGACTACATCGCTTTCTCTAAAACCGGAACGAACCCTTACAACCCGGCTAAACACATTCACCCCCTCGGGAACGCCGGTCTATAATCAAACTTTGATATCGTCTCAGGATGTAGACCTCGGCAACAAGAGATCCAAACTTAGCGCTTTAAACGGCCAAAGACCAAATCCGATCTGAAATGCCTCGCACTTTTTCTCTCTTTCCTAACTTAAACGCCTCGGCACTAACGGTGGAAGGCACAAAGGAACTTTAGTTTCTTTTAAGAGCTACCTAAAACGAAGACGCTCCACGAATCAACTCCCAGCTCGGAATTTATACTTAAAACAGAATCCTTAACAGCTTGTCCCTTAGCCCGTTTTTCTATCGATCTTTCGTAAACAGTTCGGCCAGGGAAGCAATCAAAAGCATTCCCGACACAGCTTGATAACGATAACTCGTTCCAAACAAACAGTTTCCGTCAAAAAAAAAAATTCAATCAAGAACAAACGCATCAAATCCAACAAAAAACGACTAAGGAAAAGATGAATATAACCATAGCCAAATCAATAAGTCAGGTGGATAAAGCCATCCAGGCATCAATTACATAAAAAGTTCGAGGAACGGATAAAGTCATCCAAACCTTAAGCACAAAAACATATAACACGGAAGATATAAGGGAAAGAGGAGAGAATCAAGCCGCGGACTGCGTTCCACGCTCGGCAAGGAGGTTCGAGAGGGCTGCCGTACCCACATTCGATCCAGTCGGATCTACGACACCCAAGTTGGCCGCTGTCTCTTCGAGCGGCTCGTTACCAAGACTGGTGTCTACAGAGTCCGGCGACACGATCAAGAAGACCAGCTCACCTCGGTGTACTCGCTCTCCCAGCTCTTTAGTTTCGCCTCGTCGTCGTCGAGCGTTGGGGCGTCTGGTTTCCTCAGATCGACAATCATCGCAAGGTTGCCCTTGATTTGCCCCAGCTCGTTCTCATCGGTTTTGGCCTTCTCGAGCTTGGCCAAACCTTCCTCCACCTTGGCGAGGCGCTCCTGAAACTTAGCCGTCAGCTCTCGCCTCGCTTTCTTCTTCGCACGCTTGACCTTGGCGTTAAACAAGGCATCCTTGGCCTCCATACGCCTTTTGAGCAACGCCACCTCGGCGCTTTTGGCTCTCCTAGCTTCCTCGAGGCGAATGACCGAGGCAGAAACCTTGTCGACATCGGCACGAAGAACTATCTTCTCCTCTTCTAGCCTCGACACCTTGGTCATCGCCTCGTCCAGCTTCCCCTTTGCCGCCGCGGTCTCGTTTCGAGCCTCGTCCAGGCGACGTTCGACCTTGGACAGGTCTGCCTCGTATTCAGCCATCAGCTCGTTGATGGCCGCTACAAACTGCAAAGAATAATACGCGTTAAACACTTAGTGAGAATTTGATAAAATAAGGAGAGCAAACAGAACATACCTTGGTACCGCGCTGTGCCATCGCGCCATACGACCTCAGTCTCCTCAGCTTCTCAGGAGGAGGAAGACGCGTCTTCGCATTGTTAACACGTGAAAACATCATTGCCGAGGCGTCAGGGTCGTCGACGACCAGTTTCCGTGCAGCGGGATCACCAGGAGCCTGCTTGCGCTTCTTCTTGGTCGGCTTGTCCTTTTGGATAGCTACGCCCTTCCCCTTATCAGCGGCTGAACGTTTTCGACCAGAATCATGCTTCTGTAAAACCGAAGTCGGGGGCCTCGATGACTTCGGAAGAGCCAGAATAGCCGAGTTTGAAGGAGTTTTACTCCGCGCCGCAGAGTTATCTTTGGGCGTCTCGGGAATAATTTCGCCCCGGTCCACCTCGGGCGCTGCTTCTTTCTCGGTCGCCTCGGCAACGTTTGCCTCCGCGGCTCGGACCGTGCCTTCACCTTCACGGCTCGCAGATCGACTTAAGGGACAGCCTCGGTCTCTGTTTGAGCCGCCTCAGCGGCTCGTCTCGCAGCTTCTTCTTCTTCGCGCCTTTTCTTATCTCTAAGAGTAATGATCACCATTTTCTCCCTTGTGTCTAGTGAGGAATTTGAAGACGAAGAGCTAACAGGAACTCCGGCAAGAATGGCTCGTGCTCTTTCCACTCTCTTGAATGTAAAATGCCTCCTCCAATTAACTCTCCGAGCCGCAAGAATTGGGGGAAGAATGTTCCAAACTGCAAAAACAACACAAAAAAATTCAATAAGGGAAGATTATACGATAACAGTTCCGAGCCGAGGCAAAGCTTCGGATCGGCTACCAAGTGGTCCCCAAGCGGTCTTGGTTTTTTGAACGTAATCCTCGCCGACTAACGCCTCGTTCACCAAGACATACCAAGACATAGAAGAAGCGCTCGGTCCAAAACTGATCCTTGCTTGGAAAACCACCTATGATCCGGCGGTTGGACTTGTTGGAGATGTAAACTCTGTCTCCCTTCGGAGCTTTTTTGATCTCCAACAAGTTTAGCAGGTGATTCAGTTCAATATCGAGCCCGCATTCAAATATTCGAACCAGAATACCGATCATGTGCCGCAGACCCCTCGGCATGATCTATCCGATCGAGATCCCATGTTTCCAGAGGTACTCAAGGATAACTCCGGGGATTGGGAACCAGAGAAAACAAAGCTCAAAGAACGCGTCGTACAGAGTAAAGTGATTCTCAGGGGGTTTGTCGGCTCGGTCATTCTTCTCTGGAAGGGCGAATTCTACCGCCTCGGATATCCCGAAACGACATCTCAACGCCTCAAGTGAGTCAGGGGAGGAGAGCGTAGAGCCGGGCGGGTCAGGTTTTTGTCTTTTCACTCGTTTCCCTCGCCCAGATGAAGAAGCACCTCGGGACGCCATGAGACATTCTAATTCACGCTTCGCCTCGAACAGATCAAAGGGAAACGCTTCCTCCTCGGCTTTCACTGCGGCATCATTAACATCTTCGTCAAGAGCGGGACCCTGCGGGTGGCTCGTTGAAACCGACGGCTCGTCATCTGGAGAGCGAGCGCCTGACGGACTTGAACGATTCGATGCCTCGTTGCTTTTGGATGAACGGTTAGAAGCGCTCAGCAAGATAGAAGCCTCGGAGGATCCTGTTACACCTCTCGCCTCGGCGTCTAAATGGCTCGGCCCGTAATTAAAGAGTGAATCTAATGAATCGTTGGAATGGTTCGACATGATTTACAGCTGGAACGGAAAATACAATTCTACGCGACTAACTTTCGTCGGAAAAAGATCTGAGGCGGCGGAGACCTCGGAACACTAGCCGGAAAATAAATAAAATAGAGAGAGAAAGAAGAGAGAAGGGAGAGCTACCTTTTAGTGAAAACGAATGGATCTGAAGATTATGAGAAGGAACGAAGGAGCTCACCTATTTATAGGAAAACCGAAGCGCGTGAAGTCCGCGTGGATCTCGGGATGGCGCAATGGTGTTCAATGGGGGCACGTGAAGTCCGTAGCGAATGCGTAACCTCTTGACGCGTCCGTCAAACACACTAACACTCAAGATGCCTTGGAAAGAACTAACAGCCGCTCTGTCTAGATAAACCGAGCCCATTACACAACTATGGTTATCTGAGAATATCTCATCAAGCTGTGTGACCGAACCATGCTTTGTCGATATGGCTCGACAATTTCACAAAACGTCTCGTCGTTTATTCGGCTCGGCATAACTTTAACAAAACGCTCGTCGTTTATTCGGCTCGGCATAACTTTCACAAAACGCCTCGTCGTTTATTCGGCTTGGCATAACTTTCACAAAACGCCTCGTCGTTTATTCGGCTCGGCATAACTTCCACAAAATGCCTCGTCGTCTATTCGGCTCGGCATAACTTTCACAAGTCGCCTCGCGTACAATCCTTTTCCTAAGGATATCTCACCATACAGCACAGATTGCGCCGCGCCTCGTCGTTGACAAAACTGCTCGGCATTATCTTTTAACTTGAAACGCCTCGTCGCTAAACATAGCTCGGTACTACGTAAACACCACGTCGTTGAAAACAGCTCGGCGCTATCTTTGTCAAAGTAACCTCATCTTCTGAACGGGTCGGCATTTTCCTTCAAAAAGCCTCGTCAAAAAACAGCTCGCTATTATGCTTCGTCGAAGAATGGCTCGGCATTTTTATTCCCAAAAAGCCTCACCTGGAATTGTTTTGCAACGGCCTAATTCGATGGTTTATCCCATGTCTAGGAGCAATGAACCTCGTCACTATCGTCTCCGAAACTGACGAGCTGGGGGGCTAACTGTTGGGGTCGGTTTCACCCCAAGCGGATAAAACCATCTCAATAATGACTAAGTATTGGAGAAAACCGATTTGGCAAGAAAGAACAGCTAGCCACCGAATATGGGCCGAGCTGTCCCACGAAACAAGTGGGCCGAGCTGTGCTCACCAAGACGAGTGGACCGAGCCGTGGAAAAGGATAGATGGGCCGAGCCGTGCGAAGAACGAAGAGTGGGTCGAGTTGCGCAAGAGGAAGCATGGGCCGAGCCGCTTTCCTTTGTTGTTGGCTGAGCCAGTTTTTCCAGACGGGCCGAGCCGAAGTCTCAAAGGGCGAAAGCCCATAGAAACCCTAGGCGAGGCATTGTGGCGGAGGCCGCACGAAGCGATAAGGAAATATTCCAAAAATCTCTCCCGAGATTCTCGGCTAGGCGGTTTAGAGAGTTAGTATAAATAGACAATGTATGCAATTCATTCTGTAACTTTTAACAACTCGAGAGCAATAAGACTTAAACACTTTTCAAGCAAAATACCTTCTTTTGATCTTACGGTTCTCGCGATTACCCTAGAAATTTCGGATCCCTTAGTTTTTCCTTACAAATCTTTGGTTGTGCGAGTTTTGGCTCACACATTAATCATCTAGGAGTCCTTCCTTCATTATTTTTCCCTATGCTGTTTCTGTTTCTAGCCGCTTAGAAACTGATCTCAGTAATTGGAGCCATGAGAGTACTGTATCGAATTACCAGACCTAGAAGTGATCGAGCAAAGTCCCTATAGGAGACGAAAGTTACCTATAGAGAATCGTGAGCGTGGACGAAATCTTTTTTAATGCATGATCGTATTTGCGACATGAGAGGGAGAGTTAATTGCCGAGTTGGCTAATCATACATGCGCCTATTCGAGTTCGGGATCCTCACTAGATGATTAACTTTATCGATTTGTTTGTCTTTTGATCAGTTCATGAACCCCTACGAAAACCCTTTAGACCCAGCGTTTAGTTCTTATTGTTTTACAGCCTTTTCATTTCATTTGCATTTAGATTTAGTGATACCAAGACCAAAAACCCCCATTTTGCATGTTCTACTGGTCTTAAGTTCTGATTGATTCATACTGAAAGCTCAAAATCTCTATGGTTCGACCTCAAAATACTACATCGTACATCTGTGCACTTGCAGATATTTAGGGTTATAAATTTAAAACGTGAAACTATAAGTAACCCTCGATTCTCTTAGCATCAGTTTCCCTGATATAAATCTTTGATGAGAAAATTAAGTCAAAATTAAGTCCAGATAAAATGAGCTAGTATATCCTGTCTGAAAGAATCTCCATGAATAGAAGTCCTCTGGTGGGAGTTCATAATGCAAGTATTCTAGCTACCGCCTAATCTAGGCTTAAATCACAAAACAGCAAAAAACCAGGAAATAGCGTAGAAGCACTCTGGTCCTGATTTGAAAACTTTTTGGAAAACGTTTTTTTTTTTGAAAACTTTTGTGAAAGATTTTGTGTGTCTAGAACGAACTCAAAACAAATCAAATTTCTTTAGTAACGGATGAACATCCTCCCCAAGACTTATTTCACACAGTCCTCAATGTGATAAATCTTGGAAAGAATGGTAAAAAAAATAAAAAATAAAAATGTCTAAGTGGACTTATCGTGCCGGAGAATATTGTTCCTATAAACGATGTTGCCATAATTATAGAAAACTTGCCTGCTGGTCCAAACCTCTTGACCTTGGTCCAAAATAGATGTTCTGCTGCTGGTCTCTATGTATCACTGTGATTGTTTCTTCTCCGGTTTATGATCTTTGGGCGTCTTTTAGTCATTCTTCTTTGTACAAACCTGAAATTAAATGAAACAAAAACAAAGCAGTAAAATAGAAAATAAAAGGTCAAAGAGAAATAAATAAAATACCTAGTGGGTTGCCTCCCACTAAGCACTTGTTATAAGTCGTTAGCTTGACGTTGTTGCTCGATTTGACTTTTCCGGAGTCGTGACACTCCCTGATCTATTTCTTGGCCAACGATGGATCAATCAAAAGCATCACTTCTCTCTCCTCTTCTCTTTCTTCAGCCAGATTTGGCTAGACACGTTGTCCATTCACTGTAAATCAGTTTCCAGTTTTGTCCCATATGACATTCGCTCCGTATGGTTTTACTACCTTTATCGTGAAGGGTCCGGACCTTTTTGAATGCAATTTCCCAGAGAAAAGGTTAATACGAAAATTGAAAAGAAGAACTTTATCGTTAGGAGCAAAAGTTCGATGAATAATCTTCTTATCATGATATGCTTTAGTCTTCTCTTTGTAGATCTTCGAGTTTTCGTAAGCATTGTGTCGGATTTCTTCCAACTCGTGAAGTTGAAGTAGTCTTCTTTCTCTAGCTGTTTTCAAGTTCATGTTCATCTCCTTAATAGCCCATTGCACTTTATACTCGAGTTCTACTGGAAAGTGACTTGCTTTTCCGTAAACTAGATTGAATGGTGTTGTTCTTAATGGCGTCTTGAAGGCTGTTCGATATGCCCATAGTGCGTCGTCAAGTTTTGTAGACCAATCCTTGCGATGAACTGCAGTTGTTTTCTACAAAATCGACTTGATTTCTCTGTTTGAGATTTCTACTTGACCGCTAGTTTGGGGATGGTATGGAGAAGCAACTTTATGCGTAACTCCATTCTTTTTAAGAAGATTTTTGATACTCCGTCGTTTATCACAATTCTAGGAATTCCAAAACGCGGGAAGATTACAGATTTAAACACCTTCATGACAACTTTCACATCGTTGGTGGGACTAGCGACTACTTCAACCCACTTAGAGAAGTAGTCTACTGCTACTAAGATGTATTGGTTTCCAAAAGAAGTCGAGAATGGTCCCATGAAATCTATTCATGACAACTTTCACATCGTTGGTGGGACTAGCGACTGCTTCAACCCACTTAGAGACGTAGTCTACTGCTACTAAGATGTAATGGTTTCTAAAAGAAGTCGGGAATGGTCCCATGAAATCTATTCCCCAAACATCGAAAATTTCGACTTCGAGAATAAAATGTTGAGGCATCTCATTCCTATTGCTTATGTTGCCCATCCTTTGGCATTTAGTGCATCGTGATATATAAGTTTGAGTATCTTTAAACAAGGTAGGCCACCAAAAACCTGCTTGTAAGATCTTTGAAACAGTTTTAAAAGTTGTGAAATGTCCTGCGTAAGACGAGCCTTGGCACGCATCTCTGGGATAAACCATCAACACATCTCTTGTAGAGATAGGATTCATCCCAAAAATAATGTCTTACGTCTCGAAAAAATTCCTTCTTCCTATATCCGAAAAATAGTGGTGGTTCTACATCAGCCGCT